CAGAAATGTTTTTCATATATTGATTGACACCCAAAGGGTTCTATATATACAGATTACAAGGTAGTTAAGGAGTTGAAGTAATAAATAAAAATAAATAAAAGTACACAACAAACGAAGAGGCATCAACTAATCAAAGAGACTAGACTCTAGAATATTCTACACTCCCCCTCAAGTTAGGAGATATATACCAACTTGCTAATTAAATCCTCAAAGATGGGTTTGTGTAACCCTTTGGTGAGAATGTCGGCTGTTTGCTCCTTGGTAGGTATATATGACAAACATACACTACCCTCGTCCAATTTTTCTTTGATAAAGTGACGATCAACCTCCACATGTTTGGTTCTATCATGATGTACATGATTTTGAGCAATACTGACAGCAGCCTTATTATCACAATAGAGTCTGACAGGTAGAGAATAAGATATCTTTAATTCTTCAAGGAGTCTTCTTAACCAGATTCTTTCACAAATGCCATGGGCTAGCGCCCGAAATTCTGCTTCTGGCAACAACAGTTTGTTTCTTACTTCTCCAGGTCACAAGATTTCCCCAGACATAGGTACAATATCCTGAAGTGGATCTTCGGTCCATTGCAGAGCCAGCCCAATCAGCATATGTATCGATTTCTATCATCCTTTTGTGTCCTCTTTTAAAGAGCATTCCTCGACCAGGGGTATTTTTGAGGTACTTGAGGATTCTAAAAACCGCACTAAGGTGTTTTTCCTTAGGAGAATGCATGAATTGGCTAACCATGCTAACTGCAAATGCAATATCAGGCCGAGTGTGAGATAAGTAGATCAGCTTTCCTACCAACCTTTGGTACAGCTCCCTGTCAACATCTTCTCCATCTCCAATTCCCAATTTAATATTGGGTTCAACTGGAGTTTCTGCAGGCTTGCACCCAAGCATACCTGTTTCTTGTAGCAGGTCTAGGATATATTTCTTCTGAGATAAGAAGATTCCTGCCTTGCTACGAGCAACTTCCATTCCAAGGAAATATTTGAGTGATCCAAGGTCCTTCAGTTCAAACTGATTAGCTAAACACCCTTTTAAAGATTTTATTTCCTCCCAGTCATCACCTTTGACAATTATGTCATCAACATAAACAATGAGGATAGCAATTTTATCACTATTGGAGTGTTTAAAAAATAAAGTGTGATCAGTCTGAGCTTGGATAAATCCTCTTCCTTTAACAGCACGAGTAAACTTGTCAAACCACTCTCTAGGGGATTGTTTAAGTCCATAAAGAGACTTCTTCAACATGCATACTGAACCATCTCCCTCCTCAAAACCAGGTGGTAGATCCATGTAAACTTCCTCATGTAAGTCCCCATTTAAGAAGGCATTCTTTACGTCCAATTGATGCAAGGGCCAATCAAGGTTGGCAGCAAGTGACAGTAGGACTCGGATAGAGTTAAGTTTGGCAACGAGAGCAAACGTCTCCTGATAGTCTATCCCATAAGTCTGAGTAAATCCTTTGGCAACCAATCTGGCCTTATATTTGTTGATGCTGTTATCTGCATTAAATTTTATTGTGAACACCCATTTGCAACCTACAGTTTTCTTTCTTCTGGGAAGTGCCACGGACTCCCAAGTTCCATTTTTTCTGAGTGCATCCATTTCTTCAAAGACTGCATCCCTCCATTTAGGGTCATTAAGTGCCTCTTGGATATTTTTTGGTATTTTTGTACCGTATAATATAGTGTTGAAAGCATGAAAACCTTAAGATAACTTTTCATATGAAATGTGATGAGAAATAGGATGAGCAGTGCAAGATCTAGTACCTTTTCGAAGGGCAATAGGCATATCTAGGTTAGCTGTACCAGTGTTCTCAAGTGGATTGCTGGAACTAGGACTCAGGTCAGAATCCTGGCAGTCTAGAGGATCTTGAGGAGATTTACGCCTGCTGTAGAATTTTCCCCATTTACCGGGAGGATCTCCAGTCTCTGGTACAGTTGCTGTCCTTGTCTCTTGTACATTAACTCCCCCTGTCTCCAAAGGTAAAGGAACAACAGATGTTTCAGATGTTTCCAAGGGTAAAGGTAAGACAGTAGAATTATTTGGAATCCAAGACTTGTCTTCATTTACACCAATAGACTCCCCTTGAAGAGAAGTCGAGGGAAAAAATGATTGTGTTTCATAAAAAGTAACATCCATAGAAACAAAGACCTTTCGAAGAGAAGGTGAGTAGCACTTATAACCTTTTTGATTAGGAAGATATCCTATGAAGACACATCTAACAGACTTAGGATCAAGTTTGGACCTTTGATGTGGAGGAATATGAACAAAAACCACACAGCCAAACAATTTTGGAGGAAGGTAAGATAGAGCCCGAAAGGAGGGAAAAGAGCGGGTAAGGCAAGATATGGGAGAATGAAAATTCAGGACACGAAAGGGCATTCGATTGATGAGATATGAGGCAGTCAAGACAGCCTCCCCCCACAGGTATTTAGGGACATGCATTGTAAACAAGAGGGCTCTAGCAACTTCAATGAGATGTCTATTTTTTCGTTCAGCCACCCCATTTTGTTGAGGGGTGTTAGGACAAGAACTTTGATGGATAATACCTTGCTTGGTTAGGTAATCACCAAGAACAGAATTGAAATATTAAGTACCGTTGTCAGTTTGCAGGATTTGGATAGAAGTCTGGAATTGAGTTTGTATCATAGCATGAAAGTTTTTAAAAGTGGCTGCAGCTTCAGACTTATCCTTTAGAAGATATACCCAGCATACTCTGGAATGATCATCAATGAAGGTAATAAACCAACGAGCACCAGATATATTTTTTTCACGAGCTGGTCCCAAATATCACTATGAATCAATGTAAATGGAGACGAAACATGATAATCTCTGGGGGAATAAGAAACACGAGAGTGTTTTGCAAATTGACAATCATCACAACAAAAGGAACTTGGTTTTTTATTGATAAATAAGTTTGGAAACAGCTTTTGAAGATAAAAGAAATTTGGGTGTCCTAAACGACGATGCCACAACAAAACATCATTACAATCATCTGATAAACATAAAGAGTGATTTGCAAAAAATCTCTTTTCATGAGAATCTTCTTCAAAATAGTAAATCCCTTCTTCCTCTCTAGCACTGCCAATCATCAGCCCCGAATCCTGTTCCTGAAAAACACAGGTTTTGGCAGAGAATTTAGCAACACAATGCAATTCAGAGGAAAATTTACTAATAGAAATAAGGTTACAAGTAAGAGAAGGGACATGAAGGACAGAATTCAGAGTAATATGTTCAGAGAGCTTAATGGATCCCTTTCCCGCAATATTAGAGAAACTACCATCAGCAGTCCTTATTCGTGACTGGTGATAATAAGGGGTATAAGAACAGAACAAGGTTGCATTACCTGTCATATGATCAGAAGCTCCGGAATCAAGAATCCAACGACTACTACGATCAACATGGCTAGTTGCCTCAGCTGATTGAGACATCACCTTCTGAAATTGCTCATACTGAGCTTTAGGGATGAATACACCATCGGGATTTGGAGAGGCACGAGACTCCTCACCCTTATCATCAGAAGAGATTTGATAAGCACGACTCTTGTTCAACCCCTTTGTTTTCCAGTTTGGTGGTTTTCCATGAATTTCCCAACATTTTTCGCGAGTGTGACCACTCTTATTGCAATGAAAACACCATCGGTCAGAACGTTTTGCATCACTAGGGGGACGAGGAGTATGTTTTGCTACTAAGGCAGATACATCGGAGGATTTAGAGTTCTTGTCTCCCAACATTACCTTTCGGCGAAGTTCCTCCCGTCGTACCATAGAAAAAGCAGCTGCAATGGAAGGTAATGGGTTCTGACCCAATATCCTACCACGAACATCATCAAGATCACGATTAAGGCCAGCAAGAAAATCATAGAGACGTTTTTTTCTCTAAGTAACTCTTAAACCTTGCATTAGCTTCTAAACCTTGAAGATCTGCTGCATCATAAAGATCCAACTCCTGCCACAAAGTTTTTAAAGTAAGAAAGTATTCAGTAACAGACATCCCCTCTTGATGTAACTCGCTTACCTTGGTGTTGAGTTCAAAAGCCTGAGAAGCATTGCCCAGGTCAGAATAATATTCTTTAACGGCATCCCAAATTTCCTGAGCCGTATCAAGAAACAAATAAGTTTGACTGATATCAGGATTCATGGAGTTAGTCAACCAGGTCATGACCAAGGCATTTTCAGTCATCCATTTATCATAATCAGGTTCATCAGCTTCGGGTTTTTCCTTTTTTCCATCAAGATACCCCATTTTCCCTTTTGCTTGGATAAACAGCTTGACAGATTGATGCCATTGCACATAATTCTTACCGTTTAAATGGTGGTTTGTAATCTGTATAGCTGGGTTGTCTCCGGAAGAAGAAGAACAGGGAGGAGGAGAGACACTGGAAACTCCACCGGATGATTTGTCAGAATGCTTATTCTCAGCCTCATTATTTTCATCTTCCATTGTTCAAAAAAAAAAAAGAACAACGTTCAGAACAAAGCTTGACGAGCTTGACGTAGAGGAAACAACAGGACCCAGCAAAAAAAGTGCTCCAATCGTGATTTAAACCCTCAGAACAGGAAGAGGGAGGCCAAGCGAGCTGTTCTGTGAAAGCCGCGTGTCAAACGGAGACCGGCAGGGAGGCGCGTGGCTCACACGCGCCGGAGAGGCTGCTCTGCTGTGGCGGCGCGTGGCTGACTTTCCGGCGACGGGGCTGACGTGGGTCGACTCGGAAATGGCTTCTGAGTCCAGTGGTGGCCTTGGTTTCGTGATTGGAGCGGTCCAGATATGTGATCTGGGTTATAGAAGAAGAACAGTGAAAAGAAAAATGGAAAAAAAGACGTGGAGGTTTACAAGATGACCATAGGATAACCTGCTCTTGATACCATGATGAAATATAAGACCAAAATGTTTTTCATATATTGATTGACACCCAAAGGGTTCTATATATACAGATTACAAGGTAGTTAAGGAGTTGAAGTAATAAATAAAATAAATAAAAGTACACAACAAACGAAGAGGCATCACACTAATCAAAGAGACTAGACTCTAAAAAAGACTCTAAAATATTCTACAGGATATTTGACAGAGTTTTACAAATTTGATTGTTATTCTTATGCTCCTTTTGCCTAACTAGTTCTTTTTAGGCACTGAGTCTTTTCCATTTAGAAGATTGCGAGGACTCGAGGGTGATGGTTACCTTCAGTTGCCCAGAGGTCAGTATTATTTTAGTTTTATTTAGAATACAAGTGTGGCTACTTTTTTAAAGTATCACAATGTATGTTTATCTTATCTTATTTTATGCCTAAATAATATGTTACTTCCATCTTTTTAATGCGAGACGCATGTGCCTGCTTCCATTACTTTTAATGTTATTTATCACATGCGGGATATATGTAATTCTATTTGCTTTACCATGTGTGTTGTTTTGCCTTAACAATAAAATATGCTACCATATTGATATTTTTTCTTTTATTCATGAATGAATTTCAAACTTTTTATTGCTGTGCCTTCTGGGTAAAGTGTTTGTTTTAATTTTTGATAAAAAATAATATCTTTGTATGTTATATCATCAGTATGTATTTTTTTTTGAAAAAATAATTTAAATTTTTTTTATTAGCATGCAGTTTTCTGTGATTGGAACTCTTTCTCCTATTTCTTTTGATTTTCAGGTATTCCTCATTGGAATAATGACAAGGAAGCAGAAATCTTACGCCTTGGATATGTATGTCTGTTGTCCCATTTTTTTTCTGAAGCTTTTATATTTACTAGTGTTTTCTCTTCCTCTTTGATTGAATCAAGATTCCATTGCCTACACATGCTTAAAATTTGATGTTTATTCTCCTCTGATCATCATTCCTTGTTGTAGGTCAAACCTGAAGTGCTTAGCTGGTCTCCACGAATTATTTTATTGCATAACTTCCTGAGCATGGAGGTATTTCCTTTCTTCTGATTGCTGATTTTCATTATCAAAATGATTATTCTTCGGCTCATTTATTTATAAAGTATAGGTTCAACATTATGGGCCCAAATACTCATTACCCCTTTCTAATAATATTTCTTCTTTTAGTAAAAAAAGGGCCCAAGTTTATACTATTTGGGACCACATACATGCATGATATGGCATGGAAAAGTATTATGTTCGAAGGTTGTTATTTAGTTTTAGTTATGAAAGGCAAAAAAAAAAAAAGGTTTTAGTTATGTGTTCTGACATTCTTGGGGCATTTGGAATTTCGAATGAGATTGGGCTTTCTTATTAAAAACAGGGATGTGGGGACAAAAGATAACATAGCCTAATATTAGATGGCTTGTACATGAAAATAGAATTAATAATATTTTACATGAAAATAGAATTAATAATATTTTTTCTTCAGTACAAGACATAATCATTGTTACGAGTTTGATCATTCTATGGTCGGCATCTTTTATATTAAGCCAGAGAATCCTGGAATTACAATGTAAGCCCCTATTATGATAAACTTTTATTAGCAGACCTATTAATCTGGTTATAAATATATTAAATCCTATATCAACATGTTTCTGTAATTATCATTACATTCTGTGCTGCTATTTATGGAAAATACCTAGAAAATGCATGTTTGGTTTTGATCAATTTTGAGAAACAAAAATTGCCTTTTTTCTTTTTTTCTTTTTAAAGTTTCCTCAATAAGATTTTGATTATGAGCTGTGAAGACTGAAGAGTCAATTAAAATTTTCTAACATCCATTCAAGGCAGAAGTTTCCTCATGAAGTACCAGGCTGCTAGCTGTGCAGTATGATTTTCTTGTTAGCCACATATAAGATCTTCCTATCCAGTGAAAGAGGATCAAATACTAATCTCGGGCAATTAACCATTTTTACAAAATACTGCTGCTGAATAAAGAACCTTGAAGATGAAGGTCACGTGTGTTTATTAAAACTATTTTGTCTTTACAGGAATGTGATTATCTCAGGGCTATAGCACTCCCTCGCCTACAAGTTTCAACAGTGTTGGATACTAAGACTGGAAAGGTACATTGACAGTTTTATTTTCTTTTGAAATTTCATTTTGATTGGTCATAACCATCAATATATGTTAGGTGATGAGGTCAGGTTAAAGTTTCATTTGCTCACGTGAAGTATTGTCAGATTCACCTTTGAAATTCCTGATTTTAGTTTGTGTAAATTTGATATATATTACTAAATGCCTTTTAGGAAGAAAGACAAAGCTTATATGCGTAGACAGTAGCTTGATATTTGTATTGAACCCTCTATAATGTTGTGCAACGAAGATTCAAATTGGCTTTATGACTCAGCTTTTTCTTTCTTCTTTTTTATGAATAAATTTGTTGACAACTTTTAAATGGCTTATGCAATTGCGGGAGGACCCAACTCAGAAAATACCAAACCTAGGGCATGGAAAAAATATGAATGAGAAGTTACAAACTCAAGAGAAGAATACCAAGCTTAAATTAAGGAGAGCTGAATCCATTTTAAGAGTTGTTTTGAAATTATTGCATGATCTTCTCTATGTACTATACCTTTATTAGGAAAGTTCTTCAATTCTCACCTGCAAAATAGTTCACAATTGGAGATTATGCAGCCTGTAGAAACTAGAGAGACAATGATCTAGATAGAAAACCCAGTTACCGTGGATGGATGTGAGTAGCACCTCACATCAAAGCCTTATTATTTTAGCAGAGAGGGTTGTGTACAGTATGGTGCAATTGTATATTGCATTCCTCAAGTTATCGTGTCAATTTGGCATTGCAGTGAAATTTTTTCTGTTTTGAGAATTGGTTTCTTAAAATATTCTGTTATAAGAAAAAGCAATTAGAAAGAAACGATTTTTTTCTGAAATTGATTTTTTCCTCCAGTTTCTGCATTGCCTCCTAATTATACCAATTTTTGCTTCTCTTTGACAGAAAATTTGTGCATCTGGTAAAGTAAGTCTGGCCTTTCTGTGAAAATTTTCAAGGTGCACTTCGGCCTTGCTGAGAAACTTTTGCTTTTCTGAAAATTGCTTTCTTACTAAGAAAAATATAAAATAAACTACTAGAAAGAAACAATGTTTTCTAAAATTAATTTTTTTTTTCATGCTTCTGCATTGCTTCCTAGTTACGCCAATTTTTTATTTCTCTTTGACATCAATTTTTTGTGTCTGCTGTCACACAAAAACACTTAAAAGAATTTGGCAAAACACCATGAAGAATTAAAAGAAATGTTGTTCATTAAGATTGAAATAAGCTTTTGTTGATTTGACAGCATGGCCAAGTAGGCTAATATCATGTGTTATTATAGTGTATGGCCATTAGGCAAAAAAAAAATTTACTGTCAAATTATGGAAATGGAAATTTTGAGTGAGGATAACTAAAATTATTATCCTCATTCAGATAACACAGTTCTAATATGGAGGTCATTCAGATCATTTTGAACCAATCATGAAAAAATAATAAGAATTGCTTTTGCCTCTTTCAACATGACCAAACAACTATTTTCAGATGTTTTCTTTCCTACATAAATAGATTAAACCGCAAAGGAAATCCATATCAAAACAAATGTGGATATGTAGTAGTACGTTGTACGTGGGATCATTTGCATCTAAGTCTAACTGAATATAGTTGTTATTTGAATTTTAAAGTACTTGTATTTCTTCCCAAAACATGATGATATTTCTATCTTCCATAGGGAATCAAGAGTGATTTCAGGACAAGCTTTGGTATGGCTTTGAGTCCTAAAGAGAGAAAATATCCTATGGTACATGTAAGTTGTTAAGTTTACTTTCCCCTAAAGTCTTCTTTCTCTTACTTTTGTGATCAAACCAGGGTATAAACCTGGACTGCACCAGTTGGTTTAACCATAAAATTGGACAGTTCTCGTGAACTGATACACACTAAGAATCCTTTTTTCACCGAATCAGCTGCTTCACTAAGAACTCTTGTTGGGTGGTTATTAGTGGTCGGTTTGGTTTTTGAAACATTGTGTCATACCTATGGTCGTTTAGGTTTCACACCTAGGGTTTGATTGCATCACAACCACGTGCTCCATGAATTTATAAATATGATCATCAAAAAAGAGAATGCATTAGAACTGTTTAAATGGACCTTCTTTCAATAACTTATTCTACAAGAATTAGCAATAGAATCAGTTCTACAAGGATTGAGATTCTACAATTAGTAATCTGTTAAGTGAAACTTGTGAATCAAAAGACCAAACTCAAAACCAGTTGATGAAATATAAGACTGAAATGTATTTTTTTCATATATTGATTGACACCCAAAGGGATCTTTATATACAGATTACAAGGTAGTTAAGGAGTTGAAGTAATAAATAAAATACACAGTAACCGAAGAGGCATCACACTACTCAAAGGAACAAGTAGCTAGAAACAAGTAGAAAACTCTAGAATATTCTACACTCCCCCTCAAGTTGGGAGATATATATTGATCATCCCCAACTTGCTAATTAAATCCTCAAAGATGGGTTTGTGTAATCCTTTGGTGAGAATGTCGGCTGTTTGCTCCTTGGTAGGTATATATGACAAACATACACTACCCTCCTCCAATTTTTCTTTGATAAAATGACGATCAACCTCCACATGTTTGGTTCTGTCATGATGTACAGGATTTTGAGCAATACTGACTGCAGCCTTATTATCACAATAGAGTCTCACAGGTAGAGAATAAGATATCTTTAATTCTCCAAGGAGCCTTCTTAACCAGATTCCTTCACAAATGCCATGGGCTAGCGCCCGAAATTCTGCTTCTGCACTGCTTCTGGCAACAACAGTTTGTTTCTTACTTCTCCAGGTCACAAGATTTCCGCAGACATAGGTACAATATCCTGAAGTGGATCTTCGGTCCATAGCAGAGCCAGCCCAATCAGCATCTGTATAGATTTCTATCATCCTCTTGTGTCCCCTTTTAAAGAGCATTCCTCGACCAGGGGTGTTTTTGAGGTACTTGAGGATTCTATAAACAGCACTAAGGTGTTTTTCCTTAGGAGAATGCATGAATTGGCTAACCATGCTAACCGCAAATGCAATATCAGGCCGAGTGTGAGATAAGTAGATCAGCTTCCCTACCAACCTTTGGTATTGCTCCCTGTCAACATCTTTTCCATCTTCAATTCCCAATTTAATATTGGGTTCAACTGGAGTTTCTGCAGGCTTGCACCCAAGCATACCTGTTTCTTGTAGCAGGTCTAGAATATATTTCTTCTGAGATAAGGAAATTCCCGCCTTGCTACGAGCAACTTCCATTCCAAGGAAATATTTGAGAGATCCAAGATCCTTTAGTTCAAACTGACTAGCTAAACCCCCTTTTAAAGATTTTATTTCTTCCCAGTCATCACCTGTGACAATTATGTCGTCAACATAAACAATGAGGATAGCAATTTTGCCACTATCGGAGTGTTTAAAAAATAAAGTGTGATCAGTCTGAGCTTGGATAAATCCTCTTTCTTTAACAACACGAGTAAACTTTTCAAACCACTCTCTAGGGGATTGTTTAAGTCCATAAAGAGATTTCTTCAACATGCATACAGAACCATCTCCCTGTTCAAAACCAGGTGGTGGATCCATGTAAACTTCCTCATGTAAGTCCCCATTTAAGAAAGCGTTCTTTACGTCCAATTGATGCAAGGGCCAATCAAGGTTGGCAGCAAGTGATAGTAAGACTCGGATAGAGTTAAGTTTGGCAACGGGAGCGAACGTCTCCTGATAGTCTATCCCATAAGTCTGAGTAAATCCTTTGGCAACCAATCTGGCCTTATATTTGTTGATGCTGTTATCTGCATTAAATTTTATTGTGAACACCCATTTGCAACCTACAGTTTTCTTTCCTCTGGGAAGTGCCACGGACTCCCAAGTTCCATTTTTTTTAAGAGCATCCATTTCTTCAAAGACTGCATCCCTCCATTTAGGGTCATTAAGTGCCTCTTGGATATTTTTTGGTATTTTTGTACCGTCTAATATAGTGTTGAAAGCACGAAAACCTGGAGATAACTTTTCATATGAAATGTGATGAGAAATAGGATGAGCAGTGCAAGATCTAGTACCTTTTCGATGGGGCACATCTAGGTCAGGTGTACCAGTGTTCTCAAGTGGATTGCTGGAACTAGGACTCGGGTCAGAATCCTGGCAGTCTAGAGGATCTTGAGGAGATTTTCGCCTACTCTCCAGTCTCTGGTACAATTTCTGTCCTTGTCTCCTGTACATTAACTCCCCCTGACTCCAAAGGTAAAGAAACAACAGATGTTTCCAAGGGTAAAGGTAAGACAGTAGAATTATTTGGATTCCAAGACTTGTCTTCATTTATACCAATAGACTTCCCCTGAAGAGAAGTCGAGGGAAAAAATGATTGTGTTTCACAAAAAGTAACATCCATAGAAACAAAGACCTTTCGAAGAGAAGGTGAGTAGCACTTGTAACCTTTTTTATTAGGAGGATATCCTATGAAGACACATTTAACAGACTTATGATCAAGTTTGGACCTTTGATGTGGAGGAATATGAACAAAAACCACACAGCCAAACAACTTTGGAGGAAGGGAAGAGAGAGCCTGGAAGGAGGGAAAAGAGCGGGTAAGGCAAGATATGGGAGAATGAAAATTCAGGACGCGAGAGGGCATCCGATTGATGAGATATGAGGCAGTCAAGACAGCCTCCCCCCACAGGTATTTAGGGATATGCATTGTAGACAAGAGGGCTCTAGCAACTTCAATGAGATGTCTATTTTCCCTTTCAGCCACCCCATTTTGTTGAGGGGTGTTAGGACAAGAACTTTGATGGATAATACCTTGCTTGGTTAGGTAATCACCAAGAACAGAATTAAAATATTCAGTACCGTTGTCAGTTCGCAGGATTTGGATAGAGGTCTGGAATTGAGTTTGTACCATAGCATGAAAATTTTTAAAAGTGGCTGCAGCTTCAGACTTATCTTTTAGAAGATATACCCAGCATACTCTAGAATGATCATCAATAAAGGTAATAAACCAACGAGTTCCAGATATATTTTTTTCACGAGCTGGGCCCCAAATATCACTATGAATCAATGTAAATGGAGACGAAACATGATAATCTCTAGGGAAATAAGAAACACGAGAGTGTTTTGCAAACTGACAATCATCACAAAAAAAGGAACTTGGTTTTTTGTTGATAA